ATCAACAATAAATTAAATTTCATGTGAGTTAAGAGTAAAAACAACTTTGTCCCTTGATCTACAGTTAATAGTCACGGTCACAATACTTTATCAATGGCTGATGATATGAAAGTTTCAAAACCAGTTGATGTGACTCTGTTTGTTGAAACCTCAAAGTGAGAGAAGTGTGGGAGAAGTAAAGACCACGACAGCAACGATCACTGAGTCAGACAGGAAACTAGAAACGACACAGAGCACAGAGCAGTGACCACGCAGCGACGCTCTTATTCATAAAGAAACATAAATAAGTCAAATGTCCCCATCGGTCAAAATGTTTAATCCAAAGATGGGATATTTTATAGACCAGAAGTTGCTGCTGCTTGATATCATAAATATAAATATCAGGACATCTGGTGAGTCTTGATTCAGGTGAGTTCACTTTGTCTTTTTCATGGTGTCACGCTCAGGAACAATGTGCATGAGAAACTCAGACGTGTCGTCAAATGTGTTATCATGTTCTGGAATATTATCAAACTTACCAGGAATCACGGCAGCCAGCAGGAAAAGACAGCATCCGCCCGAGAGAGCCGTCAGCATCATGGCTGCAGGAGAACAGAGCGGAGTGATGAGACCAGATGAGGAGCTGAGCCGCAGACGTTAGTGGTTCAGTGAAACTGTTGGACACCGACCGAGCAGAGGAAGTGAAGTGTGACATCAGACGTGACACCTCTGATGTTAAAGTGATGAACAGACAAACTGAGAGAAAAGCTTCATGGCTGCAAAACACAAGATCAACTGCAAGTTAAATAAATCGAACAGTCCTGTTTGTAAATGTACACGAGGCTCCGCGTGACACGATGATTTCAACATATAAGAATAATAATACAACGATTAAAGATGGGAGGTTTTTAATTTGATCTATTATCATTTTCAAAGTCCTGGAAACACATGAAGGCATCACAGATAATATTCTGATATGTTACAGTCACATGGGACATAAGAATAATAATACACATCATCTAGTACATTTGTCAGATAATTATATTACTTTACTTGAAGTGATATGTAGTAAAACTTAACTTAACATAACAGAAGGACTGCAGGACTACTGCATTATATATACATGGTGTATACACGTGTGTGTGTGTGTGTGTGTGTGTGTGTGTGTGTGTGTGTTGGGGGGGGGGCTCTGTGCACCCATTGAACTCGGTGTGTGTCAGTAATTGATCAGAGACAAAGAAAACAGCTGTAACATCTGTATGATGTATGTCTACGTGTTTAAACACCTGCACACAACGTCTGAGACATTTCACCTCGTTTCACAGAGCGACGGTGAAAACACCAGCGGTGAAGGTCAAAGGTCAGCAGGGACAAAGTACCAGTTAGTGTGTGTACGTACACACACACACACACACACACACA